CAAAATAATTAAAACATGGGTCATAATCGCAAGAATACTATAGTATATATTTATAAATCATAAGTGAATAAAATAACATGAAAAGCAGATAAACATATTTCATTTGATTTGGGTATTTTATCAATATTCTTAACAGTTCATCTATACTCAGGTAAAGTCATTATTAGATATTGTCATTTTATGACAAAGGTTTGTACTATTTGTTTACCTTACCACGCATCTTCGAACTATTGTACGATGATACGATTTTATAAAATAATAATATACGACAGCCACTACAATTTTCATATAGAGGGAATTGGAATGCTGCATAAAATAGGAACGCAGGGAATTATTGTTATAATGCAGATATTACCCGTAGCTAATAACTACACTATGGAAAAATGTTAAGCAAACCATCTGTGAAAGAGATATAACGACACTGCCTTTATACCACTTACGCGTTTAAAATCCTCTCACAAAATCCAGCACAAGACAATAGTATTGTGAAAGCATACAAACACGGCCTGAACACAGAAATTAAAGGTAAGTAACATAACGACACCAGTGCTTACAAAAGTAATTAAACAAAAACATCCGTCATCAAAGAAGATTCAGCTGCGCCCCCTAGCACTACGTTACAAAAGAAAATAGTTACATCAACAGATGTTTAACTAAAAAACCACCAAAATAGTTACATCAAGAGATGTTTAACTAATGTTTACAAAAGTAATTAAACAAGAACAACCGTCTTTAAAGAAGATTCAGCTGCGCCCCCTAGCACTACACTTAGCTGCGCCCCTTAGTACTTTGCTTAGCTGCCACCATAGACGAGATTCAGCTTCAGCCTTCTAGTACGTTACTTCTTACAATGTTTCGAAGCTAGCTTCCATCTATAGTTCAAGAAATTTTTGAAACTAAAAGGAACAACACACATCAAAATAAGCAGCTGGCTTCAAGGAAGATTCAACTACTAATACCAAATACCAGTGGCGGCTGGTGGATTTTGGGCAAACCCATATCTCAGTTATTAGATATGGGCTATAGCCTAAAACTCAAACCACATGAATGTGCCGAAAAATAAATATTACATAAGAACAAAATATAGCACCCAAAAAGTCATTATCAAGTATTCAAATTAAAGCGCTTAGGTAAGCAGGTTTAACCCTAAGTCTCCAATCCGAATCTATCAAAATGCTAATCGGTATACTATTACCTTACCATGATATTACCTAATGGTAATATCAAATTATGTGATAATAATAACAATAGCATTTTATAAACCTTACCCAAGTAATGCCCTATGATAATAATAATATAATTGTTAAAAGCTTTAGCCTGATTACAAATGCAAAGAGATAAAATAAATAAATACCTTAATACCGAGATGAGGGCAGGAAGACGAAAGTCGTTAGCCATTTGGATTTCCAATAAAGTTTATTATTATTATTATTATTATTATTACCGAGATGATACACTGAGTTCCATAAACAATAAAATACATGACAGTTAAATAAAAGTTATGCAAAGATTTACAAAAGGAAACAACAAAACCAAGGCCAGTGTAACTCAAAATAAAGATAATACAAAATATTAAAATTTAAGGTAAATGTAATTCAGTGTATATGGTGAATGCGACAACATAAAAATTGGAACTAAGTGTATGCGCGATCCCAAGATATTAAACCAAAATAATGAAATAGTGTTACAATAAAAAGTATTACCAAAAAAAACCTCTCGCTATTTACATACATACAAACATTTACATTTACATATTAAAATGATTAGGACCCAATAAACTAGCAATGATATAACGTTTTATAGACCAAAACGCGAATTAAATAATATTGTTCAACATTATAAGTAAAACGCTGTTGCTAGTGCACCGCGTGCGGTGTACTATTCTGCACCGCATATTCATATTTGTGGAAACGTCAGTTTACACTATCCTTTTTCTATGGTTTACACGTTTACGGTCATCATTTTAAAAGCCAAAAATGTAACTATATATGTAACTATATATATACGCTAACGTGCCGCGATTCGAAATGTTAAAGGCACGTTAGTTACGTCATAAACCCAAACCAACCCAAACTCAACAACACAACCCAACCGACCCCGCCCCATTGGCCCCCCCGCCCCATTGACCAAAAAACCCAACTAAAATGGGCAAATTTATGTTACGATAAAAATAAAACACTTTAACAAAGGAACAACAAATTTATGAAATAAAAAAAGTTCGACAACTTCTAGTAGATTTTATGTTACGATAAAACTAAAACAAACCAACCAACCCAACCGAACACTGTTTAACAAAGAAACAACAAATTTATGAAATAAAAAAATAAAAAAAGTTCTTAGTATCGAACCCAGGACCTCTCGCATGCCAGGCGCACGCCCTACCATCTAAGCCATCTAGCTTGTTGTCAAATATTGAACGCTCGGGGAACAAAAACGGATTATAATTATGACGTAATTGGCGGTGTAGAATAGTACACCGCACGCGGTGTACTAGCAACAGCGTAAGTAAAAATATATTAAGAAAACCCAAAACAGGTAGTTGCTAACAGTGTTGCCAATGGTGTTGACATAATTTACACACAGATTCTGTCAAAATTCCACAATTTTGCCAACTATTCCATACATTTGGGATTTTGGTTTTGTTAGGTTTCTTTGGTGATTACCGCAGAAAGAGTTTCTGAGGTGAATCACCACAAACACTCTTTCTGTGGTAATTACTGGTGATTACTTAAAGACGTTTTCAAAAACTTACTAGATTACTTACTTTGTCAAAAAGTCTATTGTTATAAACGGTTTTAAGTTACTCGATAACTTACGCTTGCAAGTTTCCAAAAACACTGGTCAGATTTTTTTTAATTTGCTGTATATAGAAATCTGCACAGAAATTCGTCCATATAACTCATATACCTATAACTAGTTATAGGTATATGATATAACTAAATAACTAAAATGCGCATTTGTAAATGTATCTATTTAAATGCTTGTTATAAGCATTGTTAATTTAAAGATAAAGTTTACACGCAAATTCCACACATTTATGTATTACACACAAATTACACACAACAAAATAAATTCCACACAATGCGTGGATTTCCACGTACATTGGCAACACTGGTTGCTAAAATAGGTACCTAATTATAGTAGAAAATCGGTAACAAACACAAAAACTATAGCTATATTATAATATATATCTCACAAACTTTTTAAGATGCGATGACGGTCTATATTTTTCTGTATTTTCCTCCTCTTATTCTATATTTTAAACATCTCGGCCACTTTAAGCAGGAATCTGAGACATAAACAAATCCCACTAACATTTCTACGTTCAAATACAAAGAAGTGAAATTTTAAAACTCAATAGGTTTTTAAAACATAAAATAACTTAAAACAATAATATTATTTTTAGTAGATTATTTAAATTTTTCTTGGTTAAAATAGCGCCAAATTTGAATTTAAAAGTTTATGTATCACAGGGCCCTTACAATGTTAATACAATATTTACAAAATACAGATGATATGACAGTAAAAAGTGGGGTGTGTATTGAAAAACAATTATACAATTATAATACTATAGTATTTGCTTATTGTCTCGCCAATTTTATCTGTTTACAAAAATATTCCTCAAAACAAAACTATTTTTATTGTATTTATTATTAATAATAAATAAATAATCACATTTAATTTGTGGATGTTGATTTTCTTTTGTTAAATAATAAAGGGAAATGTAAACAATTCGTTTATTTGTAAAAATTAATGATTACAAAATCAATTTTATTAATGAAAAAAATAATAACATGCGTAAGTTTTTATCTGGATTTTTTATAATTCGCACAATGCCAAACAATGTGTACTAAGCGATTTCTTCCTTCTTAAAACAAGTTTTATGTTATAAAACGCAATAAAAAGGTTTTGATCTTCACACGGATCAAGAATATTTTAAATTATTGTTATTAAAAGCGTACAACCTCGAACTTTATTAACCTTGACCTTGCTTAAATCTTTTACTTTCTGATAATACAAAAAAAATTCTTCAGATGATATAACCAAAGAGTGAATTTTATATTAACAGAGATTTGCATTGTTTTATTTCGGTATAGAATTATACCTATCATATTAATTTTTGTTTTAATATACCTACGTAGGTATACCCAAGTTAATGATAAATTAAAGTATTTCACCAGCTAATAGATTATTAAAAAATAAAGGTAGATTGTCAAAGAAAATATGGTATAATTTTGCTTTTTTATGTGCAGGGTTTAAAAATAAAGATTTTTTTAAAAATTAATACAGTAGTGTTCATTTAATGCGAACTCGGTTATAGCAGTTTTAAACCTGGCGGTGATTTATTATTTTATTATTTATTATAATTTTTTTCTATATTATTACGATATAACCAAATTTACCAGGCTCAAAACTTACTAATAAATACGTAAATTAAATTAAAAATGATTTGAAAAACTGTATTAAATAAAAATCACACATTTAGGAAAATGTAAATATAAAATTTAAAATATTTAATTAAAATTTTTAATAACCAATTTAAAATTTAAAAATTTAGAAAAAACATACGTATATGTATCCTAATTCAACTCCAGAAAAAATATTGAAATATTTTTCGAAACCTGTATCTATAATGATCTAATCAAAAATATTTATAATATCTATAATGATCTAATCAAAAATATTTTTCCTTTGTTGTACCGGCAGTTTTTAGCTAAGCATACTCGTATATACAAATATATTTTATAATACTTTTTATACAAATATTAAATAATTTAATAAAATAATCACATTTTTCCAATGTAAACACATTGTCCAGCAGTTCAAATAATCACAAAAACTCAAAAAAAAGGTAGCATGACTTCATTAGTTTGCGCGTCATATTTCTGAAAATGCTAGGAAACAATGCAGCTAATATTTATCTTGTGTTTAACTTCCGTTAAGAAGCAGAGATGTAAAGAGATGAACGGCTGTTGAACCATTCTTCGACAACAGTATCATAAAAGAACCCTGAGAGATGCAGACGCACTATCTTTTGAGGCTGGCGTGAGAAGCGTATTATTTGAATTTAATGCGCTGATAACGTTGGTGCGTATAATAAACTTACAGATACGCAAACCTCCTCCAGCAGTATACACTGCTATACCACTGGACAAATCAAGGTTAGTACCACAAAAAATCGACGAAAACCTACCTATAACAACAAATAATTATTTTCAGATGTTCGATAATGTTCTGCAATCTTTCGATGTGGTTAGCTTATTGATAGTGGCGATATTCTTTCTTTTGGTGGGATACCGGCCCCCTTGGTGGATTAAAAAAACCGCGAAGTACACTTCAACCAATGTTTCAAACATCCCAGGACCTTTATCCTTGCCCATTCTGGGTACAAGGTGGATTTTTACGTTCGGTGGTTATAGTTGTGGTAAAATTCACGAATTCTACAGTGACATGTACAAAAAGTATGGGAGTGTTATGAAGGAAGAAGCTCTGTTTAATGTACCTGTTATAAGTGTTTTCGAAAAGCAGGATATTGAAAAAGTGTTGAGGAGCAGTGGAAAGTACCCGATAAGGCCTCCGACTGAAGCCATAGCGCAAATCCGAAGACAGAGGCCCGAGAGATATGCCAGTACTGGAATTGTTAATGAGCAAGGTAAATTTTTTTAAGCTGTTATGCTGTGTTATGCTGCTAAAGAGAAAATCATATATTTATATATATATATATACAGGGCCGGATTTAGGCATGGGCCACATGGGCCGGGGCCCAGGGCGGCAAATTTTGAAGGCCAGTTAAAATTTTGCTAAAAAATCAAGAGCGTTTTATGCAGAATTTTTGTTTTCACTCAGATTTATACACTAATTAAAACTATAAAAAGTTGGAAGAGAAGTTTTTTAATACATTAGATAATTTTATATCAGACTAGACTATTATTCTGCGTAGTGCGTCACTGCGTAGAAGGGCGGCAGTCGATGTACACGAGGCGAGTGGGGCGCGACTCTAGCTTATTCGCTGAGTCATTAATTCGTTATTCGGGGTAATGATGCGTTCGGCCCATGGGCGGCAAATTCGTAAATCCGACCCTGTATATATATATATTTATAAATAACATATGTATATATATACCTATAACTAGTTATAGGTATATGAAAAATAACGAAGATAAGCCTGGTAAAGAATTAAAATCAGGGGTTTATTAGCTTACTTGCGCTGATTGTCCTAAAAGAAATATATATACATATATATACAATATTATATATTATACATATATTAGGGTGCTTCAAAAAAAAAAAAAAATTGTTCAACTCTTACCCTCCCAAATGCTTTAGGTGGATAAGAAGAAAATCCTCACGAAAGTCGGTCGCTGTAGCTCAACTCTAAGAGGTCGCTATTTTCATTTTTGTTTTCATTTAACATGTGAATTTTTGTTTTTTTATTTAAACTGAAATTACACCTATTAATTTTATTTTTTTTTCCAAATAACCATTGTATTTTTAGATAGCTGTTTTTTTAAGCTTTCCAAATCTATATAATAAAGTTCCATTACCTTAATTAGAATATTAAATAAAATAACAAATTATTTCAACTATTTTTCTGTACATATACATATAATATAATATATATAATATAATATATATAATATAATATATATAATATAATATATATAATATATATAATATTAGGGTGCTTCAAAAAATAAAATTTAATTTTTTTTCGCTTTTACCGTCTTAAATGTTTCTATTTAATATAAAAAAAAATCCTCACCAAATATGGGCGTTCCAGCTCAACTCTAAGAGGTCGCAGTTTTTATTTTAGTTTCCCATTTAATTAACATGGGAAAAAATAATTTTATGTTTGTTGTATCAAAGTAACTTATGGCAATGATCATTGCAGTTTCTTATATAAAATGTAACGCTCTACAAAAACGGTCTCTTATTATTTTCGATAAATTAATTTCTTCTAGAGTTATTCTAGGTCAAAATTTGATTAACATCAAATTTTCTTTTTTTTTTGAATTTTATGGTACAAGTAGCAGACGGGAGGTAAAAGGTAAAAAAAATTTTTAGATTGTTTTTTTTTCGGTTTCTAAATTATTTGAAAATATATTGACTCACAAGTTCACGATTTTAATCGAAAATAATTATTCTGAGCCTGTAGAGCGAGAAAAAGGATGGTAAAATTTTGGAAAACTTTTCATATGCTCATTTTTTGGGTACCCCATTTTGCCCCCCTCCCCCCAGCTGCCTTGTTTTGCATCATGATCATTGCTATAAGTTACTTTGATACAGAGGTATAAAATTCCAAACATATATTTTATAAAATTATTTTTTCTTATGTTAATTAAATGGGAAACTAAAATAAAAACAGCAACCTCTTAGAGTTAAGCTGGAAGGCCCATATTTGGTGAGGATTTTTTTTATAATAAATAGAAACATTTAAGAGGGTAAGAGCGAAAAAAAATAAAATTTTATTTTTTGAAGCACCCTAATATGTACATATATATAATGTATATATATATATATATATGTAGGAAAAACTGGTTGATACTTTAAAACCCGAATTAATGAATAAAGAAAATCATTTATTAATTTAATTGGTGAGATTAAAAACAGTACAAGTCCAAAAATTAAATTTTTAAGTCATTTTATAAAATCAATTTTAAAGTTCAAATTACATTTTTGTGAGAAAATACAAATCATTTTTTCTAGTCCCACCTTTAAAACGCCCTTTATCGTACATGTTTCCATGACACTAAGTGACCTTTTAAATACACATTGACAAGTTGTGGCTTTACGGCGCTTTAGTCACGGGCTGAAGTTAGCAACAGGTTTTTAGTAACGGGCTGAAGTTAGTTTTAATTTAAAACTTAAGTTAGTTGACAGTTGTCAAATGTCATACAATCGTTAAAATAAAGTGCCTTTCTTGTAAAATAATACTAAATGTGAAAATTATTTTATTATCTCAATACAAAAATATTAAATAGTTTCTCAACGCCAATATTTGAAAAGTTTATATGAACATTGTACTGACCTTTTAATTTCGCCGGCAGTAAACTATAACTTAAATTCGGACCCGTGTCCGTACTCTACTGTAAAGTCCTCATAAAAAATTTCCTTTAGTTTCACTGTGAAAAACTGTAAATTTTCAAGATAAATTTCGATTTATAAAATGTAAAAATGTGACATTTGACAGTTTCCCCTGTTGGTTCATAGATGGCGCTCTATACAAATTTTTGATTTAAATCATAATAATAAGTATTTGTCGTAGAAAAAGTATAGTATGCACCTCGTTTATAAACTTTTCTATACACTCATTAACTTAAGCACTCGCTCGCAAGCTCGCTCCCCAAACAGCACACAGACATCTTTAAGACATCTTAAAGACGCCTTGCTTCGCTATTCAAGACATCCTTAAGACGTCTTATTTACGCCGCACGTCGTCTTTACGACGTCTTTAAGACGTCGAATGTTAAAAAACCCAACGTCTTTAAGACATCTTTATTAAGTCATTTTACGGCCATTAATGGACGTCGTAAAGACGTCTTTAAGGGACTAAAATATATTGCTAAAATTAAAAAAATCGTTCAAAATCCACTGAAACTTTTATTTTCTATTTTTAAATAAACAAAGTGTTCCAACTTTGAGGTGGAAGGTTGGCCACATAAAATCATACAGATAGCAAAATATTTGAAAAAAAAATCTTAAAACTTCTTTAATAATTGGGTTCTTCTATCTGATGCCCTTTTTAGCCAAGCTTGAATAGCAATTTCCGTATCTTTATCAAATTTGGCAAGACCCGATTTCTCCACTGATCCTAAAAAAAAAACGTATTAATTTACACAACAGCGGTTTGTTTGTTTTTTAACAGGTTTTAAAACTTTTAAATAGACAGCTATTTTATAAAAAATAATATTTACTTAAACGAATACGCTTCATGTTTCTTATTACCTATTTCACTGGATTCTCACTGCTGAAGATTGAAGACACGACACTGTTTGGTCCAAACAACGGCCATAAAATTAAGTTTTATAATTATTATAGTACTTACACTCACTCTCACAGTTCACAGTAAGTTTTATTTGTAAATAGCTAGAGACCGAAAAAGTTTAAATAAAATGCAAAGTCAAGCAGTATCAGCTAACAAAAATGTTTGTAAAAAAAACAAACAAAATGGCTAATCATATGCCAATTCCGCTTTGACAACAGCGTTGCCGGAGTTCTCTTTGCACATTGCGCATGGTGGTTTGGTCAGATGTTTTATTTGTTTCTTTATTTCTATCGTGTTTGAATTTAATATTAAATCCTACAAAAAATTGCCTATACAGGCCCTGATTACAAATGCTGTAAGTTTTAATATTTTATTGAATACATTTTGTTGTTATATTTAATTTGTTATAGATCTGCTAAAAATTAGTCGATCTGACAACGTTGTCCAGTTTTGTATTTAAGGCAAATTCCACAAGAGGGAAATAATAGAAGCGCGCTAAATTTAAAATTACCATTGGTATCAAATAATATTAAAATAGAGAGATTGTTGATATAAAAGTACCTATCTAAACTGTTAAACATAAGTATTTAGTATATATAGAGCAAATTCTTACACTTCACATAAACAGATAGTTTTGTATGGGTGTACATTTTTTTGAGTTTCTCAATAGGCAGTTAGGTTAAAATGTCCCAAACTAGGCTTTCATGGACGTCTTTAGGATATCACAAATTGCATATCTTTAAGACGTCTTCAAAAATACGCCTTTAAGACGTCCTTACTAAGTCTTTAAATGTATTCAAAAGTTAAAAAAAGTAATTAATTAATTTATACACACGGAAAAAAATCTATACTGATTCCAAGAAAATTCAACTCTATCCAAGTATAGCTTAGTTTCCCTATTCCGCAAGTAAATTTATACTTGTTTCAAGTATCCTCATATTCTTATAAAATAAAGATAGCTTCGGTTTGATCTAAGATTACTGCTATACTAAAAATAAGAAACACACTAATTTTGAGTTAAGTATACAAATTTGTCTTCAATGAAGAGTACGGTATTCTTGTTGTAACGTTAGTATGTACTTCATCAAAGTATAGTTTCTTTGTAAAATCTTTACAGTATTCTTGATTTAAGAATATACTTTCTTTAAAATTTATTTATTTATACTTATTGTAAGTACACGCTTTACTTGCATAAAATGCTTGTATTCTTACTTTTCCTTTTTTTATATTTGATAAAAGTATAGTATATATTTAAAATAACTTTACACTATTCTTAAAGAAAGTGGTTGATTAGAAAAAAAAATTCCCTCGTCTAGCGACTCGGAATAATTTTTACAAAAAAAACATTCGTGACCCTGAAAAATATTTTTATTAATTATTCTACTACTACGGAAAATACAAGTGAAAGTGAAAATATAATCGTTATGACAGTAATTTAACAGTATTTTTGGCATATTATTTTAATTATTTTAATGTACTAAAGTACTAAGTATAATAGGCACTGATATCACAATAGGTTTATTACCTAACAGTCTTAGAGGTATTAGAAAAAGTACTGTCAATTTATATAAATTCATTCTTTCACGGTTAATTAACATATATGTATCTATAGATACTATATTTTACATTTTATTTTTTTAAGTACCTAGGTATCACATTTTTGGTGC